TTATTAATAAAACATGAATAATCTTATTGTATTTATCGATGATGCTCAACAACTGTTAGAAAATTCTTCGAATTTAATTTCCGTTTTCAAAATCATCGACAAATCCTCAAATGCAGATGTTTTCTCGAAACAATGGATATCATAATGCATTATTTCAACTAAAAAATATTATCAGTTTTTCTTTTTATGAGTTTCTTGATGATCAGATTAAATTGACGTCATCGTAATATTTCTTCTCCTCAATTAATATTTGTCAAATAACATAAGAAGAAGTTCAAATTAAATTTAAAAGAATTTGGAGGAAAAACGACATGTTCTAGTGAGGGTGAGTTTCGAACAGAATTCCAAGCATCTTACGATCGCGATTTCGATTCTTGCTAAAGGGATCATCATCAGGCAAGTTCCGAAGAAAAATTCCACAAAGGGAAAGGCCATAGAATGGTTGACATCTTACAAGGGAAGGTCTCCAGGTGTGTCCCGGGGATTTCAATGAAAATGATGTGGGTTTGTTAAGGCAAGCATACCTATCTCAGGCATGAAGAGTCTATGGTGAATTATATTTCAAATTGAATTTTGAAAACAAAAACCGACTCTTTCAAAATACATAGACAAGGGACCAAAGGACTGACAAATTAAACTCAACAACAATAAATATCAAAGAGTCAAGAACTTTCATATGACTTATATACTGGAATTGGATGTAATGCAGTTACCCTCACTCAGCTCTTTCCCTCATCACCCTCCGAAGCACCCTCACTTATCTCCTGACCTCATCACCCTCCTTCAGCTCTTGCTCCTATCACCCTGAGGGGACCAAGGGACCAAGGGACCAAGGGCCTAAGAGGACTAGTGGGACTAAGGGACTAGTGGGACTAATGGGACTAAGAGGCTAATGGGACTAAGAGGCTAATGGGACTAAGAGGCTAATGGGACTAAGAGGCTAATGGGACTAAGGCTTAGTCCCTTAGTCCCTTAGTCCTCTTAGTCCTACTAGCCCCGTTAGTCTCTTAGTCCTCTGATTACCGTTCGAAATAAAGTCTCTTTTTCGTTCTCTAAATTCAGATTGAAATATAATAGACCATTCTATGCGAGAAAAACAGGGGGATAGCGTTCAGTGTGTACATCGTAACTTTTCGAAGGCAAGTCCGAACGAGCTAGAAATTTGGATTTAGTGGTTTTGGATGATGCTCTTTCATTTCCAATCATAAAAAAGGGGGAGGGGGTCAAAGTTTTCGAGAGTATGATGATGTTCGAATGACTGGTGGATCGTCTCTTAAGTTGTGTGCATAAAACCCATGTTCAACATGAACAGTCTCAAGTGATTAATACAGCATGGGCGATTTCAACTTTAACTGCAGCGCAAGCAGATCCAATTTCAATTCGAAAAGGAATTGAATTTCTTCTAAAAAAACAATGTAACAATGGAGATTGGAATCAAGAAAGTACGGTATTAGTGGAGTTTTTAATGGAAATTGTATGATTAGTTATTCGATTTATCGAAATATTTTTCTGATTTGGGCTCTTGGAAGATTTATTCAATAAAAATAAATTTCGTTTTCTTTTTCTTTTCGAACTAAATAAAAATGATATCAGTAAGAACTCATCATTATGGCATGATTTCATCGCTATCCAATGAATAGACGAGAAATGAACATCAGCAGATTTGTTTTTCTTTTATAAAAGAATAGAGATCTGAATCGAAACTGTAAGTGCTGAAAAAAATGATCTCTTATATCGTTGTTATTGGAATCATTCTTCTTTTGCTTGGGCGAAGGAAAATCTGCAATAATATCGAAAATAAACATGATCATGCCATCATTATAGGTGGAAGTATTGCCGGAATGACGAGTGCAGCTTATTTGAGCAAATATTTTCGACGCATTACGATTATAGAGAGTGATGATGTTTTAAATGAGATTTTGATTAACTGTACTCCTGGACAATTATTAGATTATCGATGTAATTTAAGAAATTCGAATTCTTTAGGTCGATCAGGTGTAACTGAAAATTTTCAAATTCATGTTCTCCAAGGTGAAGGAAGAAAGATCCTATTTGAATTATTTCCTAATTTAGAAAACAAATTAATCAATGAGTATGGTGCATATCTTGCTTCATCAAAACGTCATTTTCGTGTTCTGATTGGTGATGTTTTATTAAATCGAAATTTAACCGAAGATCTTTCATGGTTTTGTATTGATCGTTTTACTGTAGAAACGGTTTTACGAAGAGAATTTCTTTTACAATTTCACCCCACACAAATTCAATGGATTACAAATACAAAAGTGAAAGATTTAATTGTCAGTCCATCGAATCATGGTTCACGGACAACTCGTCGCGGACTATTCGTCGCACGAACAATTTGTCGCAAGGACAATTCGTCGTACGGACAATTCGTCGCACATGTATACTTTAATTAATTTACATTGAAGAATTATCTATCATCGGTTGACATAGATACATGTAATTGAATTAATAAAAATACTATACCATGGTCAATGCTCTCTTTAGTAAGGTGAAGTGAAGCTTAGTATTCTAGTAGTGTTTGTAACAAAAAATTTGAACAAATTTGAAAAAATAATATACGACGCTATCGAAGGGTAAAAAGTAAAAAAGGTTTTAAAAATCTCAAGAGAACGTGCTCGATAGCTTCCAGAAAAAACGTTACTTTATCGACACCATCAAACGAAAGTACATTCCCTTTAGCCTGTTAAGTGATTTGCCAGTACCAAATATCAAATAGAAGTTCAAATAGCCTTCGACTCAACGAAACTATTCCACGAATACGTTCATGGTTTTTGTAATAGTTCATTTAGTATTACAAATTTCTTAAGCAGGTCGTTTTAAATGAAAAACTAATCATACAAACTATACTATTCGACAGTATGTAGGCTTTCTTGTCCTAATACATGTTACACTTGTCACGTTGGATTTTGATAATTTTTTACAGGAACATTTATTTTCGTAAGATGTGTATCTTTCTTCGTCTATCTATGTATTTTCGTAATCTTGTTACAATTAATTAATTTTGCGACGAATTGTCCGTCCACGCCGTCAAAGGTTTCCATCAGAATAAACATTTCTTCACCTTTAAAGTGCATAATTCATCTTTATCACTACCATGTCTCGAATATTCAATGGATGAAATTGATTTTCTGCTACTGTTGATCTCGCTGCTGTGCCATCAAATATTCTCGGTTTGCGAGGGGATTCATTCTACTCGCTCGTTGAAGAACTAACATCCGAGGATGTCGAAGAATTGCTCCACATTCAGAAAATTTCGACTGCTCGCTGCTTCTTAAACACGAAACCGTGGGGTTTCTTCGATATAAGCAGCGATGACCCATCCGTTGTTCAACTGCAAACTCGTCTTTCATTCAAGACGACTGATAATCGGATTGTTGTACTAGCCGGCATTCATGAATATCTCCGATACCTTCGCGAGTCGTTCAGCGCGTTAGTCAACAAAACAGAGAGCAAGCGAAAGAATTCGAACCATTCGACTACAAATGATCTCGTTCATCAAGTTCCTTCGTCGTCATTTCAAACCGCGGCTTTCTCAAACTCTTCGGCATCGGTAAATCCATCCAACGACGAGCAACAAACCAACCTCAAACAACAAATTGCATTGTGGTGGGAGAAAAACCGAGATCAATACGATCTCGGAAATGCGGCACTGACTGAACTCGAAGACTATCAGATCACGATCAGCGATCAAATGGCGGTTATACAATGTTGCTGTAACAAGAGAATCAGTCTTCCGAAGCTGAGGGGACGGAAAACTTATCAACTGAGCAACTTCTACAAGCATTTGACCCGAAAAGGTCGATGCAATGCTATCTAACGGAAACGTAGCAGAACCAACTCTGATACTGACGATGATTCGGTTGCTTTGTGTTCGCCATCACGCCCTTCTCGTCTGCAAGATTGCTGTTATGCGAAGAAGAGGATTGACAGTAGTCAACAGTCTAAAAAATCGGTCAGACGTTCGACCGATGCAATACCGAAGTACAAACGGCGGCGAGAGTCATAACGCAATCAGGTATTGAACAATACTGTCGAGTTGCACAGAAAAGGACAATGATATTCATTCTTTTCTTTGCAGTGGTCCTCATCGACTATCAACAGTAGTCATATTTATTTGCCTAATATTTTTGCCATCGATCAATTCATTTTTGTTGTATTTATCACTTTTTTTCGATACATTTGATTGATCAATCAATCTGTCGCACAACTTTGTATTATCTAGGTTACACTTTTATTTTATTTTCGAAATAGATTAGATTTTAGCATAGAAACTACCCAGGCTCTATTTAGATAAATATCTTTCTCAAGATTCATCCCTCATCACCTGTGTGAACTATTGATACTGCTACTTCTAACGACTTCAGCCAGTCATTTGGTGTAAGCTACTTTCACTCAACGTGTCTATCTTCGTTTTACAGCATCATGGAAACTGATGACATTTGCCTCCCATCGAACATAAACATACTTAAAGGCAAGATCTTCTACGATTTCCTCGAGACCACGTTCGGCACCAACATCAAAGAGTTTGCTCGTCTTCAAGGCTTCTCATCGGCTCATTCTCTTCTTCATTCCCCTCGGAACCTTCTTGACTTCGTCCAAATAGATTCCAACGGTCCGAATCTCATCGCTATAAAGAAAATAGCCGCTTTTTACGACAAGAATGGAGTGTGGACGGTGAAAGCTGGCCTTCAGTACGATGCGGATTGCCTAATATCAGCTCTTCGTCAATCCAACCAACAGCAAACAACGACCCACCTCAATGATTCGATTCTTGTGTCTTCTGCCATTCTTTCACGCTTCCCTTGGCTTAAGACTCTGATCGTTTTCTGTCGAAACTCCATGTCACTCACCGATCGACATGACCTCACTTTTTTGTCCACATTCATCGAAAATATAGCAAATAATGTAACCAAATCATCTAAACATAATCGATTTTCTCATCTCGTTCAACAGTTCGCATTCGTTCTTTACGTTCTCGATGGGCGCCAAGCGTATGAATTCGCTTGCATCAATCTACCGGACAGCCTTCCCTGTCCATCGACAATATCGAATCTTCTCAAACAGATAAACGATCACCTGATGGAAGGTGAGTTCCGCTTCAGCACTTTAGGCCATTACTCGGCATCACTAGACGTCAAGTATGCGTTTGCTTCGGAGGACTGCACAGGAATAATAAAGAAGATCTGTTACGATCGTCAATCGAATTCATTCGCGGGCTTTTGTCCTTCACTACAGAGAGATGGTCTTCCACGACCGTTTCCGTTTCGAACCGAATCATTCGCCGAACTTGAATCGAAATTCAAATCTGAAACGCTATCGTCGTTGATCAACGTACACGTAATACAGCCGATTACCTCTCGAAGCGCACGTCTACCACCTTCAGTTCTTTGCGCTTACGGCACTAACAACAGATCTGACTCATATCATTTGATCTATCGATGGCTGAAAATTTTCGATGAGTCTCTAAGGCACGGTGTACGGATCGTAGGTTTTGCGACGGACTGCGACCAACGATATCTGCGCAGCATGCGTCTATTGACCAACTTTTTTGCTTCTCTTCCGAATTGGGATTTTCGCGATCGATCGAACGTCTTCAAAGTGGATCTACCTGCCAAGTGGAAATGGTTCTATCTCGACCCTGTACAACTGTTCGTCGTCTTTCAGGTAATAATATCTGACGCTCTTTAATTCATACGACCATCAGAGAAATGAAAAAAAAGATACAACCATATCAGATCATGGAGTTCGCAATCTCTGGCCATGTCAACACTCAGAAGCTCAAAATTCTATAATATCTCGGACGCAAAAAAGCTTAATTGTTTTTGGAACATTTTCAGGATCCCATTCACCTAGTAACGAAGGTCCCCAACAGAGTGCTTTCTTCCACAGCAACGTTGCTTATGGGAAATCAGTTGGTGTCAATGGATATTTTACCCGAGATTCTAGTGACATCATCGAAACTATTCCATGGACTAGTATCGTCCGATCTGAATCCTCGCGACCATCAGAAGTATGCATCCTGTGTGAGAATAAGCCGTGGTGAGATCTTCAGGTCGCTTGAAAATATCGGCAATTCAAACGCAACAGTGATCTACATCAGACTATTCCGCTGCATCACCGACGCGTACATCGACAAAGCAACATCACTACTCCATCGAGTTTTTCACGCATGGACAAGTGTTTTCCTTTCCCGTCTTTGGCTTCTTTGAATCGACAAAATGGGCAAAAAGAAACTGGATAACTTGCTCGATGAACTGATGCATCATTTTGACGAGCAAGAACGGTCAACGAAAGCTAGCGCTCAGAAATATTTTCTAACACAACAAGCGATGTACTCTATTGAATTAAACGCACATTCTTTGATCTATTTAATACTCCTCGTAATCGAAGGCAAACTACCGGAAGAAGTACGCTGTATTGGTCGTTTTCACTTTCAGTCATGCGAAGCAATGTTTCGTTCCGCACGCGCTCTAGCGTCTAAGTGTCTTTTCGGAGTGAATTTCACAATCCTTTAGTTTCTAAATCCGCTTGAGAAGCTAAATCTGTTCCAGCAGATTAATAATGAACACGAACAAGCCACTCCTCCAGTGCTGCGCTTTCCGATTCATCATAAAAACAAGCATGCTCCTTCATCTGTCAATCGAACGTCTCCTACGAAATTACCTACGAAAAAAGAGATCGAACAAACTGTCTGGCAAGCGTTTGATAGAACGACAGATTACATCGAACAAGTTGGCGTCATGGCCGCGTTGACCAAAGACAAGCCATATAACATCGCACGGATTAGTAATTCTGCTCGCTCTCTGTCCGAAAACAAAGAAATACTCGATACTTTCTCTCAAGAGGGCGACGACGACGATTTAATCGGTATTATTCGATATCAAGAAGATGCAGATTCTGTCGAACAGAACTCGACGAGTAACTCAAGCCAAATGGTGTCATTTGTTATTTATTTAGTTAGAATTCAATCAACGTTTTACGGAGAACATTGTTTGTTTCAAGTACTGTTGCATTTGACTCTTTTCCAAGAAAATGGGAATACGCAGAGTCATTAGGAGTTGGAACATCGCCCTTGAAATATTCCTACGTTTCAGAATATCAGAATATGTCATATATTGTTCAGGTTGCTTATTCAGCTCTTAGATGACTTACACGTTCTGTAAGAAAAGTGTTCCTACCCACCGAGTGTTGCCTTTTAAGAAAGGTCGCAAAATCTTTCTAGAACTCTATAACAATCTCCACAAATCGAATTGTTCATTCATTCCTCTAATTCGTTAATTGAAAGGAGCAAAATCGTTATCGTACTCTGTGCTGAAGTGTATTAACTTGAAGATGATCGACTGAATTCTCACTAAATCCCTACTATCAGAAATCGATCTTCAGTGATAAAAACTTTCTTAGGGGCTAGAGAGACTGGGAATCCAGATAATTTGATTTACTTTGTAGTCCATAGTGACTTGCTACTGTGGAGTCTGGAAGTACGGTTGGAATACGGGAGTATCGAAATCCCGGAGTGTCGATTCCCCCTTGTTTCGAATCATGCCGTAAAATGAACGGCTTAAGAGTGTAGATGTTGGCGACATATAGGACGTCATATCTACTGACTCCCTTTCGGGATGGTTGCATAGTTCATTCAGGTATACTTCCTACTCAATTCTATCCTTCAACGCACCAAGAAACCAGCAAAAAAGACTACCTCAATGCTCACAGTGGAATTTTATCATCCAACTCACCGTCAAGCCAGTATTCTTCCGAGATGCACATTCCATCAACACACCGGTACTCGTCATCTTCACACTCGTTAAATTCCAGTAGATCACAATTTTCCTCATCGTGTCCATCCATGCAGTTTTGCGCTCCATCACAAATATTTCTCCAGTCTAGACATAACAGTCCATAATCGCACACCAAAGCTACGTAGAATAGAATACTACCCCATATCTGGTGACCCTTGATGACATCATTTGCGTCGAAAACTTTCTGTAAAGCCTTACTAAATGATGACGGATCAAAGAGAAGTTCATATTCACAACTTTTGCCAAAAGAGCCTTCCTTAGTACAGTTGCACAAATACGACTGTTCCTCAACTGGTTCCAATCGATTGTAGAATAAGCGTGCATAATCATCCACCTGTTCAACACTCGAACTCCATTGGAGAACTTCCCACGGTGACACTTCTCGTGCCAGCAACTCACTAAAGGCCAGTTTTTCTCCATGTAAACACTTGTTCATCGCTGAACTCAATGATACGTTCGTGCCAGGTCTTACACAATACTTAACAGTCGAATCTTTTGTATAGTAAACACAATGAAATTGCTCCACATTGTCACTGCTTTCCGTATTGTAAAGTAACATGCGACCTTGAAGCACACTGATTAATGATGCAAGAATAAAAATCAGTAGCTTGTTTCTGAAAGAGTTATTCATTGCCATCCCCATTTCAGATAACGTTGTAGACACTACAGAAGTATAAAAACGTGTCAATTATTCATCTGCTATATCTATTGCGCGTCGGGAGATCTTATTATATGTTGACATGGAGCGCGTTCCATAAATGTCACTAAATATTTAGATAGTATTTATTAGTG